AGCACGCTCTGCTGCGTTGCTAGCACGCTCTGCTGCGTTGCTAGCACGCTCTGCTGTGTAGTTAGCAAGCTCAGCTGAATTGCTAGCACGCTCAGCTGCGTTGCTAGCACGCTCTGCTGCGTTGCTAGCACGCTCTGCTGCGTTGCTAGCACGCTCTGCTGCGTTGCTAGCACGCTCTGCTGCGTTGCTAGCACGCTCTGCTGCGTCGCTAGCACGCTCAGCTGCGTCGCTAGCACGCTCAGCTGCGTCGCTAGCACGCTCAGCTGCGTCGCTAGCACGCTCAGCTGCGTCGCTAGCACGCTCAGCTGCGTCGCTAGCACGCTCAGCTGCGTTGCTAGCACGCTCAGCTGCGTTGCTAGCACGCTCTGCTGCGTTGCTAGCACGCTCAGCTGCGTTGCTAGCACGCTCTGCTGCGTTGCTAGCACGCTCAGCTGCGTTGCTAGCACGCTCAGCTGCGTTGCTAGCACGCTCTGCTGCGTTGCTAGCACGCTCTGCTGCGTTGCTAGCACGCTCTGCTGCGTCGCTAGCACGCTCAGCTAAATTGCTAGCACGCTCAGCTGCGTTGCTAGCACGCTCTGCTGCGTTGCTAGCACGCTCTGCTGCGTTGCTAGCACGCTCTGCTGCGTTGCTAGCACGCTCTGCTGCGTTGCTAGCACGCTCAGCTGCGTTGCTAGCACGCTCTGCTGCGTTGCTAGCACGCTCAGCTGCGTTGCTAGCACGCTCTGCTGCGTCGCTAGCACGCTCAGCTGCGTTGCTAGCACGCTCAGCTGCGTTGCTAGCACGCTCAGCTGCGTTGCTAGCACGCTCTGCTGCGTTGCTAGCACGCTCTGCTGCGTTGCTAGCACGCTCAGCTGCGTTGCTAGCACGCTCAGCTGCGTTGCTAGCACGCTCAGCTGCGTTGCTAGCACGCTCAGCTGCGTTGCTAGCACGCTCAGCTGCGTTGCTAGCACGCTCAGCTGCGTTGCTAGCACGCTCAGCTGCGTTGCTAGCACGCTCAGCTGCGTTGCTAGCACGCTCAGCTGCGTTGCTAGCACGCTCAGCTGCGTTGCTAGCACGCTCAGCTGCGTTGCTAGCACGCTCTGCTGCGTTGCTAGCACGCTCAGCTGCGTTGCTAGCACGCTCAGCTGCGTTGCTAGCACGCTCAGCTGCGTTGCTAGCACGCTCTGCTGCGTTGCTAGCACGCTCTGCTGCGTTGCTAGCACGCTCAGCTGCGTTGCTAGCACGCTCTGCTGCGTTGCTAGCACGCTCTGCTGCGTTGCTAGCACGCTCAGCTGCGTTGCTAGCACGCTCAGCTGCGTTGCTAGCGTGGTCAGCTGCGCTGCTAGCACGCTCTGCTGCGTTGCTAGCACGCTCTGCTGCGTTGCTAGCACGCTCAGCTGCGTTGCTAGCACGCTCAGCTGCGTTGCTAGCACGCTCAGCTGCGTTGCTAGCACGCTCTGCTGCGTCGCTAGCACGCTCTGCTGCGTGCTAGCTAGCACGCTCTGCTGCGTAGCTATCACGCTCACCTGCGTTGCTAGCACGCTCAGCTGCGTCACTAGCACGCTCTGCTGAGTCGCTAGCACGCTCTGCTGCGTCGCTAGCACGCTCTGCTGCGTCGCTAGCACGCTCTGCTGCGTCGCTAGCACGCTCTGCTGCGTCGCTAGCACGCTCTGCTGCGTCGCTAGCACGCTCTGCTGCGTTGCTAGCACGCTCTGCTGCGTTGCTAGCACGCTCTGCTGCGTTGCTAGCACGCTCTGCTGCGTTGCTAGCACGCTCTGCTGCGTTGCTAGCACGCTCTGCTGCGTTGCTAGCACGCTCTGCTGTGTAGTTAGCAAGCTCAGCTGAATTGCTAGCACGCTCAGCTGCGTTGCTAGCACGCTCTGCTGCGTTGCTAGCACGCTCTGCTGCGTTGCTAGCACGCTCTGCTGCGTTGCTAGCACGCTCTGCTGCGTTGCTAGCACGCTCTGCTGCGTCGCTAGCACGCTCAGCTGCGTCGCTAGCACGCTCAGCTGCGTCGCTAGCACGCTCAGCTGCGTCGCTAGCACGCTCAGCTGCGTCGCTAGCACGCTCAGCTGCGTCGCTAGCACGCTCAGCTGCGTTGCTAGCACGCTCAGCTGCGTTGCTAGCACGCTCTGCTGCGTTGCTAGCACGCTCAGCTGCGTTGCTAGCACGCTCTGCTGCGTTGCTAGCACGCTCAGCTGCGTTGCTAGCACGCTCAGCTGCGTTGCTAGCACGCTCTGCTGCGTTGCTAGCACGCTCTGCTGCGTTGCTAGCACGCTCTGCTGCGTCGCTAGCACGCTCAGCTAAATTGCTAGCACGCTCAGCTGCGTTGCTAGCACGCTCTGCTGCGTTGCTAGCACGCTCTGCTGCGTTGCTAGCACGCTCTGCTGCGTTGCTAGCACGCTCTGCTGCGTTGCTAGCACGCTCAGCTGCGTTGCTAGCACGCTCTGCTGCGTTGCTAGCACGCTCAGCTGCGTTGCTAGCACGCTCTGCTGCGTCGCTAGCACGCTCAGCTGCGTTGCTAGCACGCTCAGCTGCGTTGCTAGCACGCTCTGCTGCGTTGCTAGCACGCTCTGCTGCGTTGCTAGCACGCTCTGCTGCGTCGCTAGCACGCTCAGCTGAATTGCTAGCACGCTCAGCTGCGTTGCTAGCACGCTCTGCTGCGTTGCTAGCACGCTCTGCTGCGTTGCTAGCACGCTCTGCTGCGTTGCTAGCACGCTCTGCTGCGTTGCTAGCACGCTCTGCTGCGTTGCTAGCACGCTCTGCTGCGTTGCTAGCACGCTCTGCTGCGTTGCTAGCACGCTCTGCTGCGTTGCTAGCACGCTCAGCTGCGTTGCTAGCACGCTCAGCTGCGTTGCTAGCACGCTCAGCTGCGTTGCTAGCACGCTCAGCTGCGTTGCTAGCACGCTCAGCTGCGTTGCTAGCACGCTCTGCTGCGTTGCTAGCACGCTCAGCTGCGTTGCTAGCACGCTCAGCTGCGTTGCTAGCACGCTCTGCTGCGTTGCTAGCACGCTCTGCTGCGTTGCTAGCACGCTCTGCTGCGTCGCTAGCACGCTCAGCTGCGTATCTAGCACGCTCTGCTGCGTCGCTAGCACGCTCTGCTGCGTCGCTAGCACGCTCTGCTGCGTGCTAGCTAGAACGCTCACATGCGTAGCTAGCACGCTCACCTGCGTTGCTAGCACGCTCACCTGCGTTGCTAGCACGCTCAGCTGCGTCGCTAGCACGCTCTGCTGCGTCGCTAGCACGCTCTGCTGCGTCGCTAGCACGCTCTGCTGCGTTGCTAGCACGCTCTGCTGCGTTGCTAGCACGCTCTGCTGCGTTGCTAGCACGCTCTGCTGCGTAGCGAGCAAGCTCTGCTGCGTAGCGAGCACGCTCTGCTGCGTAGCGAGCAAGCTCAGCTGCGTAGCGAGCACGCTCTGCTGCGTTGCTAGCACGCTCTGCTGCGTTGCTAGCACGCTCAGCTGCGTTGCTAGCACGCTCAGCTGCGTTGCTAGACCGCTCAGCTGCGTTGCTAGCACGCTCTGCTGCGTTGCTAGCACGCTCAGCTGCGTTGCTAGCGCGCTCTGCTGCGTTGCTAGCGCGCTCTGCTGCGTTGCTAGCACGCTCAGCTGCGTTGCTAGCACGCTCTGCTGCGTTGCTAGCACGCTCTGCTGCGTTGCTAGCACGCTCTGCTGCGTTGCTAGCACGCTCAGCTGCGTTGCTAGCACGCTCTGCTGCGTTGCTAGCACGCTCTGCTGCGTTGCTAGCACGCTCTGCTGCGTTGCTAGCACGCTCTGCTGCGTTGCTAGCACGCTCTGCTGCGTTGCTAGCACGCTCTGCTGCGTTGCTAGCACGCTCTGCTGCGTTGCTAGCACGCTCTGCTGCGTTGCTAGCACGCTCTGCTGCGTTGCTAGCACGCTCTGCTGCGTTGCTAGCACGCTCTGCTGCGTTGCTAGCACGCTCTGCTGCGTTGCTAGCACGCTCTGCTGCGTTGCTAGCACGCTCTGCTGCGTTGCTAGCACGCTCTGCTGCGTTGCTAGCACGCTCTGCTGCGTTGCTAGCACGCTCTGCTGCGTTGCTAGCACGCTCTGCTGCGTTGCTAGCACGCTCTGCTGCGTTGCTAGCACGCTCTGCTGCGTTGCTAGCACGCTCTGCTGCGTTGCTAGCACGCTCTGCTGCGTTGCTAGCACGCTCTGCTGCGTTGCTAGCACGCTCTGCTGCGTTGCTAGCACGCTCTGCTGCGTTGCTAGCACGCTCTGCTGCGTTGCTAGCACGCTCTGCTGCGTTGCAAGAACGCTTTGCTGCGTTGCAAGCACGCTTTGCTGCGTTGCAAGCACGCTTTGCTGCGTTGCAAGCACGCTTTGCTGCGTTGCTAGCACGCTTTGCTGCGTTGCTAGCACGCTTTGCTGCGTTGCTAGCACGCTTTGCTGCGTTGCAAGCACGCTTTGCTGCGTTGTTAGCACGCTTTGCTGCGTTGCTAGCATGCTTTGCTGCGTTGCTAGCACGCTTTGCTGCGTTGCTAGCACGCTTTGCTGCGTTGCAATCACGCTTTGCTGCGTTGCAAGCACGCTTTGCTGCGTTGCAAGCACGCTTTGCGGCGTTGCAAGCACGCTTTGCTGCATTGCAAGCACGCTTTGCTGCGTTGCTAGCACGCTTTGCTGCGTTGCCAGCACGCTTTGCTGCGTTGCCAGCACGCTTTGCTGCGTTGCCAGCACGCTTTGCTGCGTTGCCAGCACGCTTTGCTGCGTTGCCAGCACGCTTTGCTGCGTTGCCAGCACGCTTTGCTGCGTTGCTAGCACGCTTTGCTGCGTTGCTAGCACGCTTTGCTGCGTAGCTAGCACGGTTTGCTGCGTTGCTACTCGCTTTGCTGCGTTGCTAGTACGCTTTGCTGCGTTGCAAGCACGCTTTGCTGCGTTGCAAGCACGCTTTGCTGCGTTGCTAGCACGCTTTGCTGCGTTGCTAGCACGCTTTGCTGCGTTGCTAGCATACTCAGCTGCGTTGCTAGCATGCTCAGCTATTGAGTGGTACGGAGTGGTACTCACAGCCAGAGAGATTCAAGGAACGGCAACTGCGCTAGCGTGCCTTGTGGGATGGCTGTCAGGCAGTTGTCGGCGAGGGAGAATTGGCGGAGGGAGCGCAGGGAGAGAGGGGGGAGGGAGGATATGCGGTTGCCCTGGGAACGGGGAGAATGGAGGGAGACGAAAAAAGGGGAAGATAGAGTGAGGTGGGATGGAGGCAAAGATAGCATGGGAGGGGAGAGCAAGGGAGATATAGAGAGTGAAGCGGCATGAATTGAGGGTAGAGGTGAGAGACACCTGAGCAGAGACCAACCACCTAAAGCCACAAAGCACACTTGGGCTTACACCTGAGATCTCACCTGAAGAAAGAGCTCCTGAAGGGATGAGAGGTGGGTGATGGAGGATGGCAGGGCTGTGAGAAGGTTGCCGTAGGCAGCTAGGACCCTGAGAGAGGTGAGAGAGCCGATGCCTGGGGGGATAGGCGGGGAGGGAGGATGGGAGTATGAAAATTGGAGACTTCAGAAGAGAAATTGACATTTTTGAGGAAAAAAGATATATGGAAAGGAATATGAAGTGAAAGCGCATGTGAAGTCAGACGCAAGGGGCCTTTCAGTGATGACACAATGGACACAGAGGAAAACGAGGTCTCACTTTGTGGTAACTCTTCCAGCTGGTTACCAGCGACGGACAGCACCTGCAGTACCGTCAGCCTGCCCAGCGTGTGTGGTAACCGTGTTAACTGGTTGCCTGCAAGAGCTAGGAAGCGCAGGGCTGTGAGGTGGCCGATCTGAAGGAGGGGAGGGGGAAGGTGACCGTGGAGTCAAGGAGGAGAGAGAGAAGGGAAGGGGAGTGAGTGTGGGAAGGCAAGGGCAGCATGAAGCTCTGAAGCTGACTGATTGCAAGGAGAGAGACTGTAAGACTCACACACTGATGTACTCGCTATAAGGCGCACTGACCTGAATCCACTACAAGGCACACTTATCTGTACTCGTTAACGGCACACTGTGCTGTACCCACTATAAGGCACCTCGTTTGGGAGCTCGTGCAGCAGGTTCCCGTGCAGCCACAACCCCTCCAGCTGCGTCAGATGGCCGATTTCAGGTGGCAGCCGCTGCAGCCTGTTGCCTGCTAGACCCAGCCGGCGCAGCTGGTGAGGTGCGGTGTGGAGGGGAAAGGGAGAACAGGGAGAGGTAAGAAAAGGGGTCGCCAGTGGCGGCAGTCGTGGCAGCGGAAACAGTCGCTGCATCCTGTTGCCTCCCAGGCCCAAGCGGCGCAGCTGGTGGGGTGCGGAGGCAGAAGGGAGAAAGCGAGAGGTAAGAAGGGGGTGAAAGTTACACCAATGTCGGCAGCCGCTGCAGCCTGTTGCCTGCTAGGCCCAGCCGGCGCAGCTGGTGGGGTGAGGAGGTGAACAGGAGGAAGAGGAGTAAAAGCGGGTGGGAAGTGGATCAGAGATGGGTGCTCCTGCAACCTGTTGCCTGCCAGCACCAGATGGCGCAGCTGGGTGATGCTGAGGTGAAAGGGGGAACAGGGAGAGGATAGAACGGTGGTGAAAGGTTTGAAGGGATGGAGAAGGAGGAGAGGGGCACGGGAGGGGAGCGGAAGTATGGAAAGATTGGCAACCTCAAGAAAGGATGGACTCGATTTGATTGCCGGCCAGAGAGAGAAAGAGAAGGAGAACGCAACTGCAGGCTTACTTTGGTGAGGTTGGCGATCTCAGGAGGGATGGATTCGATCTGATTGCCGGCCAGAGAGAGGTCCGTGAGATCTGAGAGTTGCAGCACAGCCGCGGGGATGGCCGTGAGGCCTGGGGAGGGGGAAAAAGGGGAGGAGGGGGAGCGGGAGGAGGGGAAGAGGGGGGAGGGTTTGTGGGGTCGGAGGAAAAGAGGAGGAGATAGGTAAGGGACTGGGGGGTAACGCGGAGGCGGAAAAACCAAGGGGGAACTAGGGGAATCGGCGGTCATACCGCAGTCGCTTAGGTCCAACGCGCCCGTGTTGGCGGCCACGGCGATTCTCGCCTCCACCTCACTTGCGCTGGCCGCGTTGACAGCATTGACAACATTCACCGCGTTGACCACGTTCACTTGTATAGAGGCTGCGGAGCGGCGGCATGTATTTCGTCCTGCCGCATGAACGGCTGGTCCTGGGCGAAGGCTTGTGAAAGCAGCGCTGCTAAGGTCTTTCGCGAGATGTCGCTGAACCAGGCCTGACCCGAGGCTACGAGGCGCGCGCGCCCCACACGCACCCGAAGAGCGCGGCACATGCGCAGCGGCCTGGGGGTTCAGGCGGAGAAGCTTTCGAGGCGCGGCGGAAACGTGGCAACGGGTGCTGCGCTGCGCTGGCAATCGAGATGGTGTGGGCGCGGAAGTGCGCGGAAAGACTGGGTCAAGCAGACGAGCCATGCTGGGAGTTCGATCGCCGTGGGACACGCGTTTCACGGAATGGCTGTCCGCAAAAGGCGGTCGATATTTCGTAAGAACGAGCAACGGCTAGCATCCGTTGATATGTTCAGCATCCATGCCTTGGAATGCGGTTTCATGGCCTATGCGCATTGTCAATAGTGAGCCACCACTCTACATCTCCGTTTTAGTAAATCGTGCATCTCAACTCAACCTTGCCACTACAATGCTCTTGCTTGAGCACTTCTGCCATTACATACAACTTCTTTATTAGATCAAATGCTAAACCATCATCTTGAGATAATCTGGTCAGCTAAAAGTCGACCTACTCTTGACGTGAGCGCCAGCCAAGCAAACACCGAGACCTGGAAGGGGAGAGAGTGGGATACAGAGACCATGCCTTGAAAATATAAAGTTAACCGACAATTTGCCCCATAAATACAACTGAAACAAGTGTTGCCGTGACAAGACTAAGTCGTTGCCGCTGAATATGTGAGATGCAGCTTACCTGACATGGGGCGAAATATGCCGTAGCGCATTGCAGCTATGTTTGCACAACATGCCTTCATATGCAAATGATGTTAAAAAGAAAAATTGCAATGTCTGGAAGGGACATCCTGGGTGGGGTTGAGAGCACTCACAGCTCCGCCTCCTTGCCACTTGGCTCCATGGGGGAATGCGAGCATTGATCCTGCCGAGATGGAGAACAGATGGGTGAACAAGGAGCACGCATAGAAGAGGAAATATATGATTAGGTCAGTAAGCAGATTCGCATTGGAATAAAAGCTGAGACAGCAACACACACAAAGCAACAGTTGGAAAAACAGGGGCACAGCGGCTGCCAGTGGACGGGTGACCGTGCATTTGTGCTCACCAAATGGATAGACGACGTCCACCGGCAGAATGACAATGGGCTTGGAGCGGAATGAGAGCACCAGCAGCACATAGGCACATGCCTGCGACAGGAGGGCAGGTTGGAAGGAGTGGGAAGACCGGAACACATTTCTGGGAGATTTGACGATGGTTAAGCCTTCAAGATTGATATGCGCGATTCACTGGCAGCTGTGCTCAAACAGATCGACCAGAGAGCAGACAAAGGAAGCCCATCCATATCACCCACATAGAGGTCTCGCTTTCAGGTAAACACGTGCATGACCAGCATGCCGTGCATGGCATGGGCATGGGCATCGACATTTTCATGGGCATTTTCATGGGCACGGGCATGTGCATGGGCACGGGCATGGGCATGGGCACGGGCATGGGCATGGGCATGGGCACGGACATGCGCACGCACGTGCATGTACCTGTATGGTGTATGGGAGGGCGAAGCGAATGAGCGTCCACCAGACACGGGATGGCTGTGCCTTCACTGGCAACGAGGACAGAGGGGAGGGAACGAAGGGCTTCACGTGTGAATATGGCAAATTAAGAGCCGGAAAACAACGCACATAAATGGAAAGGGCACAAGCATGACCAGGGAATTCTCATCACAGGATGAGCATCACGAGCGGCCATTCACGTACGTGCGTTCAGCTCTTTCTCCTTGGCGGTGGCCGTGCGAGTTAGCAGAGCAGAACGGGAGAAGGTGCTGGGGCTGTGGGCGCGGGAAGAATGGGGGCGGGAGAAGCATGAGATTGGGAAAATATAAGGATCGGGGCGGGGGAAAAGGCGTCAGGAAGAAGAACGAGCTTCAGAGGAAATATGAACACAGGGAAGGGGGTTAAAAACCCGAGAGAGCGACTGGGATGACCATCAGTGGATACGGATCGAGTCAGGGTGATCTCTGCTCGGAAGACTCACGTGTTCAGCCGATTCGCCTCTTTCTTTAGGCGCTTTATTTCCGCCGCAAGAGCCGCCTCTTTGCGCGCTGACAGGTTCTCCTGGCCACGGGAAACGGCGCGTCACGCAAGCCACCCCTTACGGCGTTAATCAGGTGTTTCAAGAGACCACGCGGTAAAGTCATAGTGCGAGGAGAACGCGTGTCAGACAACCTTTGCGTATGAAGTCAAAGGATGGGATCGCTTCATCGGCGTATCAACGGAGCGCATGACGGAATTTCAAGGGTACTACATCATATATTATCCGGGGCAATTGCGGCATCGACAATCGTACCGGGAGGAAGCGCCGAAGTGCCCTCAGAATCACCTCGCCGAGAACTACTATAACGAACGTGGCTATAGCAGGCGGCAACGTCAGAACCTTCATCGCGACGTGAGAGGCGAAGATTGTAGCGCGGAATGGCTTGCTTCAACCTACGCCTCACTCCGTCGACTAGTCCCTACTCCCTAATTCTGGTAAGCTACGCTTCAGCTGTCGTAACCACGCATCGTTATATCTCTGACGAGTAAGCTACTAGCAACGCGATAGCGCAGCGAGAACGCAAAATATGTATTGTGTTGCGCCTGAAATCGCAGTTTTTTGGGTTGCTGCGGGTGGTGTTCAGGTTCGGTTCAAACCGCTATTTCCAGCCTCGAATTCCAAACCTCGAGGCAAATGAAGCTCTCTTCAAGAACATCACGTACAGCCACAATGTGGAAAATTCGAGATTAGCCGCGGGCTGTCAATTTTCGGCAATTCGCGATTCTGTGCGACAGGAACTCGGTGTCAGAACGTTTCAGAGCTTAGCTAAACGTCATCACGGAAGCCCTCTGATTTGCCACGTCAACTCGTAGCCCATCTGACACATCACATTAGCCCAGCACTGGCCACACACTGCAATCCGTCAAGGATGATGCTCTTTTGAGCCCGTAAGGCGGTGATATCCTCGTTACAAGCGAAGCTCTCCCCGTCATGTCAGTTGTGTGTCAGACACCTAGCACAAAATTCTCCGAGTTTCGGTTATTTTAGTGGACAGCCAGCTATCAGTCACGCCGATTGGTTCCTTCAGCTTCAGTAGGTAGCGAGAGTTTGGTCGCGAGACGACCAAGGTGGTTCAAGTATTCGCAATCGTCAGGTCTCTCACATGTTTGCCAAGTTAGGTCCCTCGTGTCGCATGGCCATATGCTTTCGCCATCAATTCGGCAGGTTTTCCTCATGCTTAGACTGCAAGGGTTCCTTTTCGCGAGCACCCTTTCTGCGAAGAGCTGGCGCTTTCGCTGACCACCGTTGCTGTCCTGTCACGACGCGGTGGCAAGCAAGCACTTTCGAGGAATACTAGGACTAGTTGTTGCAGATGTTTGCGTCTTAACTGCGTTATGCTCTGCTAGTCACGGTATCTAGAATCAGTCTACCCTTCCCTAGAATCCTACCGTGAGCCTGTACGCGCTTCAAGTCCATTCAGGCCCTCGTGAATTGCGAGGATTGCGGCTGTGAGTCACTTAAAGCCATGAGACGTTAAGCCGATCTACTGACACAAGGTTGGACTTTGCGCGGTTGGTCCCTGAGACTTTTCAGTAGACAACTCATCCTCCTCCCATGGCGCCCACGCGCTATTCCCTCTCCATCAAACCCCCCGACCGTTCCGCGGAAGATGGATCCGCGGAAGCTCCCCCGCGGAGAAGCAGCCTCAGCAGCAACTTCACCCCTGGGGGAACCGGAACTGCAGCTGGCGGAGCAGCCGCGGGCGCAGCAGGCGTAGCGGGGGGGTCGGGTGGGGCGGGCAGAGGTCACTACGACGCCGGGCCTTGGGCTATTCGCGTTCCCAGTAACGATACGGACGTGCGAAATTTCCAGGAAGCAGGCAGGGATCCATGGAGGTATATGGCAGGAGATGGCGCGGGGAGGCTGGGTAGCGCGGATTCCAGCTACGGTGCTGGGGGAGGAATGGGGGGAGTGGGGGGAACAAGCGTTGAAGGTGGTCCCGGGGGAGGTGGGCCCGGGGGAGGCGCATCTGGATCAAGATTCGGGTTTGAGGGCGGCAGGATCCAGCGGAGATTCTCTCTTTCCACCCCGCGGGAGATCGCCAGGCTGGCCCATGCGTCCGGTGGCAGCACCAGTGCCAGTGGCAGCAATGGGCCTGAAAGGCAGGGGCTGCAGGCGCATCCGCCACAGGTGCAGGCGCATTTGCAGCAGCTGCTGTACCCGCTTCACCAGCACCTGACCCAGTACCAGCAGCAGCAGCAGCAGCAGCAACAGCAGCAGCAGCAACAGCAACAGCAGCAACAGCAGCAGCAGCAAGGAATGAACATGCCGGGCACACCCCGTCGTCCCACCTTCTACCGAGGCCTCTCCTCATCCTATGAAGAGGCTGCTCAAGATGCAATCGCAGCCGTCCAAGCTGCCCAGGCAGCAGCAGCAGCCGCCGCGTCAGCCAACGGCCCCTCCAATTCCGGCTCGTTTTCCACCGTTGGTTCGGGCAGTTTCAATAATGCCCTGGGTAATTTCCTCCGGCAGCCAACTACCCCTCGGTCGATACCACCCTCTCAGTCTTCTACCCGCGTTGAGCGGCTGCTGAGGGAGAGGCAGATGAGGCGCAGCACGAGCTTCCTGCAGTTCGACGTGGACTCAGTAGACGGGCGGATCATGACGCCACGTGGCATTGCCACGTCACACGGCAGTGCGGGGTCGATTGCCGGAGCGCCTGGAGCAGCAGGGGGAGGAGCACCAGGGATGGGCGCAGGGGGGGGAGCAGGAGGCGGAGGAGGGGGAGGAGGGGGGGGGGGGGAGGAGGGGGAGGGGGCGCGGGCGCAGCGTGGGTGCCAGGGCGTGCGCCCATGGTTGGCCGAGCCAGCACCACCTCCCGAGGCAGCTTCGCATTTGGCTCGGCAGCCCGAGGCACCAGGTCCGGGCCACTAGCCCCGGTCGATCTAATGATAGGCCCGGACAGCCGCAACTCCAGTTATGACAACCTGGCTGCTGCTGCCGCTGCCCACACCCCCCACAGCTCCTCCATTCCCACCCCGTACTCCTCCACACCACCCCGTCTCCCCTCTGCCGCCGCCTCACCATACCCTCTCTCGTCATCCCCGCACATGGCCTCATCACCCGCCATCCCTCGCCCCTCAGGCTCCACGCCTCGCCTGTCCTCGTCTCTCACGGCTTATCCGGCGTTCAGGACTGGGGGCGCCATGCCGAGGGTGCAGAGCAGTGGAGAGCTCACTGTTGCGGCGGCTCAGGCAGCAGGTTTGGCGGATAGGATTCCGGAAGAGGGGATGGGAGCGGGGGATGGGGGAACGGGGAGTGCGAGTCCTGGGGTGACGGTGCTGCCAGGGGTGGCTGGGATTCCGGGAGTGGCTGTTCCGGGGGGTATGGGAGCAGGAGGAGCAGGGCCGGCTGTAGCGAGGCTGGCTGTAGCGGGGACGGATGTAGCTGGACCGGCTGTAGCAGGGACGGCTGTAGCAGGGCAGGCTGTAGCGTCACCACCACATAGGATGGGCGGTAGGCCAGGTACCCCTAGTCATGGTTTAGACCCAGGCCGGATGCATGAACCGTTAGGGCCAGCAGCAGCGGTGTCCCTTGCAGCTGAAGCAGAAGCAGCAGCAGCGATGGCAGCAGCAGCATCTGCGGTACCAGCCGTTGCAGCAGCGGCGGCAGCAGCAGCAGCAGCAGCAGCCATCCCCCAGCCTGTACCAGTGGAGCCTCCCCGGGTTGAACCCCCGCCGACCCCGCCGCCCGCGCCGGCGGCCCAGCAGCGCATGCAGCGGCTGCTGATAGTGGCCAACCGCCTGCCCGTGCGCGCCAGCCTGCAGCCTGATGGCACGTGGGCGCTGGAGTTATCTGCAGGGGGGCTAGTCAGTGCGCTGCTAGGTGAGTGGTGTGTTAGGGTTAGATTGTGTGTGTGCGCTGCTGTGTGTGTGTGTGCGCCCAGCAGCGCATGCAGCGGCTGCTGATAGTGGCCAACCGCCTGCCCGTGCGCGCCAGCCTGCAGCCCGACGGCACGTGGGCGCTGGAGCTGTCTGCAGGGGGGCTTGTGAGCGCACTGCTGGGTGAGTGGTACTGCCAGGTTAATTTTAAGAATGATCACAATCAACGTACAATCAACGTGCTTCTGCCAGGCTTGCTGCTGTAAGTGGTGGTCGGTTCTCTTCTTGCAGCCTTTCCTCTTCCGCCCCTGCTCGACCTGTACCTCACCATACTTCCTCCGTCCCCCTGTGCAATGCGTGCGTTTATGCAGGAGTGAAGCAGAACTTTGAGACGTGTTGGATCGGGTGGCCGGGGCTGTACCTGCACTCGCCTGCCGACCAGCAGCAGCTGCACGACGCCCTGCAGGCCAAGGTGAGGGGCTTCATACGACGGGCTTCATAGAGGGGCGCTAGAGAGGGGCGCGATAGAGTCATGGGGCTGTAATGAATGGCAGTAGTGGCAGAGAGACATGATTAAGTTTGGGTGAATGCCACCACTGGCACATGGTTGTGAGGCAGGTTTGAGCCGACCAGTTGCTCACTTTCTTTCCCCCTTCGTGTGTGTCCCTTGCTGGGATTCAAGGGGTCGCACTCACACTGTTCTATGTCCCTCGCTCCAACCATGCCTCTCCCTACCACCAGGGCTGTGTGCCAGTGTTCCTGGATGGGCACACACTGAACGCTACAGTTTTCATCGAAGCACACTTTTTCACACCGCCTCCTCTCCCTGGCTAGTCCCTCCGATGCCCCTTTTCTATCCTTCCTCCTCGCCACCATCAAGGGTGTGTGTCTGTGCTCCTGGACGAGCACACAATGAACGTGCGTTGCAACGGGTACTGCAACAACAGCCTGTGGCTCGCTCAAACCAAAGCACACCTTCAATCCCACCACACCCTCTCCCTTGTCCCACCCCCTCCCCTCCTCCTCCCCACCACCAGGGCTGTGTGCCTGTCTTCCTGGATGAGAACACGATGAATGCCTATTACAACGGGTACTGCAACAACGTGCTGTGGCCGCTGCTGCACAACCTGCACTCACACCACCCACCCACTTCCCCTCCTGTTGCCCCCACCACCAGGGCTGCGTGCCTGTATTCCTGGACGAGAACACGATGAACGCGTACTACAACGGGTACTGCAACAACGTGCTGTGGCCGCTGCTGCACTACATCGGCCTGCCCCAGGAGGACCGCCTCTCCGCCTCCTCACCCCCTCCCATGCCCCTCTATCCCTCCTCCCCACGCCACCAGGGGTGTGTGCCTGTGTTTCTAGACGAGAACACAATGAACGCCTATTACAACGGGTACTGCAACAACGTGCTGTGGCCGCTGCTGCACTACATCGGCCTGCCCCAGGAGGACCGCCTCTCCGCCACGCGCTCCATCCAGGCGCAGTACGGCGCGTACCGATCGGCCAATCACAGCTTTGCTGACGTGGTCATGGCGCAGTACCGCCAGGGGGACATTGTGTGGGTGCATGACTACCACCTCATGCTGCTGCCTCAGTACCTTAAAGCCCGCAGCCCCAAGTGAGTTTCCATGAGTCCCCTGAAAGGTACTGCCAGGGGGACATTGTGTAGATGCATGACTACCACCTCATGGTGCTGCCGCAGTATCTCAAGGCGCGCAGCCCCAAGTGAGTTTTAGTTAGCTTAGAGGTAGCGTGGCAGGGGTGAGACTGTGAGTGTGCAGAATTGGCACTTCATGATATTTGGGGCGCCTCAAGTGAGTTTCTTATGATTAGTTTTAGAGGAGATTGTATGCGTGCACAAATGCCACATCGTGATTCCTGAGGGGTCTTAAAATCGGCGCAGTACCACCAGGGGGACATTGTGTGGGTGCATGATTACAATCTCATGCTGCTGCCACAGTACTTCAAGGCCCGCAGTTCTAAGTGAGTTTGCAGTTGGCTTAGAGGTAGCGTGACAGATCACTCGTGTCCTCCCGTGTCCCGGAGGCTGGCTTCTGCTCTTGCACATGTGTACCTCGTTATGCATCCTGTCCTCACACCCCTCCCTCTATCCGTATTCCTTTGCAGCATGAAGGTGGGGTGGTTCCTGCACACGCCCTTCCCCTCCAGCGAGTTCTTCCGAGCGCTGCCCCTCAGAGAGGAGATCCTGCAGGCCGTGCTCGCTGCTGACCTCATCGGGTGAGTGGGTGAAGTTACTGATTCACCTTGTCACGAGTACAATTGTTGAAGAGATATAGAGGCACCATGCCCCTAGGGGAGCAGGTCCTTCAGGCTGTGTGTTGGCTGCTGACCTCATTGGGTGAGTGGGTCATTACCATTACCATTATCATTACCATTACCATTACCATTACCATCGCCATTACCATTACCATTACCATTACCATTGCCATTACCATCGCCATTACCATTACCATCTCCATTTCCATCGCCATTATCATCGCCATTACCATTACCATTCCATTACCACTGCCATTATCATTACCATTGATATTGACATTGCCATTAGCATTACTATTATCATTTCCATTACCATTTCCATCGCCACTACCATCACCATAACATTACCATTACCATTACCTTCGCCATTACCATTACCATTACCATTACCATTACCATTACCATTACCATTACCATTACCACTACCATTACCATTGCTATGGGAGCTGGTTTGAGTGGGTCATGTAGTTAACTTGAGTGGGCAAAGTTAAGTCAAGACGTCTAAGTCTCGAGTGGGCCAGCTTTCTCTGAGAGGACATTTTGCAGCAGGCTGAACTCACTAATGGGCTCGTCCTTTATCTCGCTTCGTTTACTAATATTCTGCCCTCCCCTCCTTCCCCCCCTCAACCTCTGTCCCTTTTCCTTCAGTTTCCACACGTATGACTATGGGCGGCACTTTGTGAGTGCGTGTGCGCGCATTCTCGGGCTGGAGGGCACGCCAGAGGGGGTGGAGGACCACGGGAGGCTCACACGCGTCGCTGCGGTGAGTGACAGTACACTGGTGCAGTTGCATGTTACGTGTTTATGGAATATTTTCTATAATGTAATAACGTGTATTGTTCTATTCATATGGATGTGTATGTTTTCCTCAATCACATGCCTCCTCTTCATGCTGTGCCACGTGGCAGTTCCCCATTGGCATAGACCCGGAGCGGTTCATCTCAGCACTGGAAAGCAACGTGGTGAAGACACACATTGCAGAGCTCAGGGCGCGATTCTCTGGCCGCAAGGTGAGAAGAAGGGGTGGGGGGAGGTGGTGAGGCGAGGAGGGATGGCGCGCATAGGAGGGCAAGGAGAGCAGCGTGATGAAGAAGTCACACATCGCAGAACTGCGAGCGAGATTCACCGGCAGGAAGGGGAGGAGAGAGGGGAGACGAGGATGAAAAGGCATTGCACAAGAGGGTAAGAGAAATGGATCAGCTAGACATGGTAAATGCTTTCCTCAATCGTCTCCACTCCTCTCCACTCCGCTCCACTCCTCTTTCTCCGGGTGATGCTGGGAGTGGATCGCCTGGACATGATAAAGGGCATACCGCAGAAGCTGATAGCGTTTGAGGAGTTCCTCGAGGAGAGGAGCACCCCGACTGCTTGTGAGGCGCCTCAATCACTGTATCGTATCCTGCTCCCGCCCCTCCCCTCCAACCTCGCAGGTGATGCTGGGAGTGGATCGGCTGGACATGATAAAGGGCATACCGCAGAAGCTGATAGCGTTTGAGAAGTTCCTCGAGGAGCACCCCGACTGCACGTGAGGCGCCTCACATGACGTATCCTGCTCCTGCCCCACTTCCTTCCCTCCCTCCCGCTCCCTCCTCCGTGTTCTCCCCCCCAGGTGATGCTGGGAGTGGACCGGCTGGACATGATAAAGGGCATACCGCAGAAGCTGATAGCGTTTGAGAAGTTCCTCGAGGAGCACCCCGACTGGCGCGACAAGGTGCTCCTCGTGCAGATCGCCGTGCCCTCCCGCACCGACGTGCCCGAGTGTGAGTGCCCCGTGCTGCTGGTAACTGAGTGTGCATGTTCGAATGTGAGTGCATGAGTGCCACTGGCAGCTAAGTATGACCGAGTGTGATTGTAGGAGTGTGGTGGGGTGGGGTGGAGACTCAAAAGGTCCTCCTCGCGCACCGACGTGCCCGAGTGCGAGTGGGTGCCAAAGTGTGAGTGCCTGAGCCTCCTATGCAAGCTTTGTTCGAATGTGCCCCCTACCGTGCACACTCATGCGCATGCCACGCTGCCATCATTCATATCCCTCTCTTCAACCTCCCGTCTCCTCCCTCCAATCTCCTTCGCCCCTCGCCTCCACTCCCCGCCCGCCACCAGACCAGAAGCTGACGAGTCTGGTGCATGAGATCGTGGGGCGAATCAACGGTCGATTCGGCACTCTCACCACCGTGCCCATCCACCACTTGGTACGAGCTGTTCAGCGCAACCAGGGCTCCATTCGTACAGCATCGCTTCCTCTCACGCTTTTTCAATGAAAATTACCTCTTGTTCAACCTTAGCTGGATTGCGGTTTCAGAGTGAAGCAACCAATGACAGCCCCCTACCTTCAAACTCCCTTCCCGTTTTCCTTTGCTCTACAGGACCGCTCCCTGGCATTCCACGAGCTGTACGCCATAACGGACGTGCTGCTGGTGACTATCCTCTTGCAGCTCCTTTCCCTCACTGCCCCTTATCCCCCTCCCCCCACCTCTCTCAGGACCGCTCCCTCGCATTCCATGAGCTGTGCGCCCTGTACGCCATAACAGACGTGCTGCTCGTGACATCGCTGCGGGACGGCATGAACCTGGTCAGCTACGAGTACGTGGCGTGCCAGAACTACAAGAAGGGCGTGCTCATCCTCAGCGAGGTATGCACATTTCAAAAACACGCGTTCGCCATGCCATGTCATGAAGTGTGGGAGTCTAGTGCGCGGCTCTTCAAGGGACGGCATGTATCTGGTTATCTACTACGAGTACGTGGCGTGCCAGGACTATGATTGTACGCGGCTTTTGATTGTGATATAGTTTTATGCACGGCTCTTCAAAAAGGGCGTGCTCATCCTCACTCAGGTATGCACATCCTCGCTGATTGGGGTGATGCACTCGCCCCTCACTGATTGGGGTGATGCACTCGCCCCTCACTGATTGGGGTGATGCACTCGCCCCTCACTGATTGGGGTGATGCACTCGCCCCTCACTGACGGCCTTCCACAGCAAATGAATATCTCGTGTCAGCCATGGCATGTCATGCATCACTCCCGGAGCATCACCCCCGGAGCATCACCCCCGGAGCATCACCCCCGGAGCATCACCCCCGGATCATCACGCGTGGAACATAACGGTCATGTCGAGTGCCATAGAGGATGCTCATGCCCTTTGTTCAACATCCACTCCCATCCTGATATTCCCTTGTCTCTCATTTGCAGTTTGCAGGGGCGGCTCAATCACTCGGCGCGGGGGCGCTGCTGGTGAATCCGTGGAACATCACGGACATGTCGAGCGCCATAGAGGACGCACTCACCTCCCACTTTATATTTTTTTCCCCTTGTTGATTCCCCAATTGATTAATCCTTGATTCTTGGAGTGCAGTTTGCAGGCGCAGCGCAGTCACTCGGCGCGGGCGCGCTGCTGGTGAACCCGTGGAACATAACGGACATGTCGAGCGCCATAGAGGATGCTCTCACGATGGGCGAGGAGGAGCGCGTGGACCGCCACCGCTACAACTTCCTCCACGTCACCACGCACACAGCACAGGCGTGGGCGGACACGTTTGTCAGGTAGTGCCAGTGCAAGCCTTCAAGGAGGAGTTTTGATGGCATTGGGTGGGGTTGTCCTGCTTTCGGCCTGCATCTTTGCTCGATTTTCGTCCCAGGTCTCCCAGCTGGAAGCGTTGCTGCTGCCTGCTGCTTATCCTCTCGTGCCCTCCTTCACTTTCCCCACCGTCCCTCTGATCCCGACCCCTTCCCCCCCGATTGCCCCAGCGAGTTGAACGACACGGTGGTGGAGGCACAGCTGCGCACGCTGCACATCCCGCCGCTGCTGCCCGTGGCGCAGTGTGTTGACCGCTTCCACCAGTGCCGCAACCGCCTGCTCATCCTCGTGCGTTCCCATACTTGATTGTTTGCTGATTGAGTTTGAATGGAATTGCGGGAATGTGACTTTGGAAAGGAGATGTCATGGGGAAATGGTATTTGGGAATGACATGATATTGCACGACACAAGGTCAAAGACGTGCCCTCGCTTCCTGTCTCTTCACTTCCCGTGCGCTTCTCCGCCTGGCTCTGGGCCCTGCCTGCTCACCCCTTGTCCCTGTCGCAACTCTCCCCCGCCCTTTCTTCCCGTGTTCCTGTGCGTCTCGCCTCCCCCCAGGGCTACAACGGCACGCTGACAGCCCAGGTGGAGCCGCACAGGCGACGCACGCCCGACCAGATCAAGGAGATGAAGGTACACGGTCGGCAGAGGGGTGCAGGGAGAGAGTAAGGGGAGAGATTATGAGTGAAACCTTTTCTTTCCGTACAAAATTACTGGAAATGCGCATGCCCATCATAGCAAACCCCTTCAGCTGTCCCCATTCACATTCCCCACCCTCCCTGCTACCCACCAGGTCCGTCTACACCCCATAATGCCGGCGGTGCTGCGCCGACTGTCCTCAGACCCAGCCAACACGGTGGTGATAATGAGCGGATCAGAGCGAGCAGTCCTAGACGAGGCGTTCAGCGAGTACGACGTGTGGCTGGCTGCCAGTGCTGCTCTCACTCCCCGACCTGTCCCCTTACCCTGTCTCTTGATCCCGTTTTCTTTGTCCCTATCCCCATCCCAATCAATCCCCAACCAGGTCCGTCTACACCCCATAATGCCTGCCGTGCTGCGCCGGCTCTCCTCCGATCCAGCCAATACAGTCGTCATTATGAGCGGGTCAGAACGCGCCGTGCTGGACGAGGCGTTCAGCGAGTACAACGTGTGGCTGGCGGCGGAGAACGGCATGTTCATGCGGCACACTAGAGGGGAATGGATGACCACGATGCCGGAACATCTCAACATGGACTGGCTGGACTCGGTGCAGGTCAGTAGGCGCTGCTCTGTGTGGTGTTGGTGAGTAGGAGGGAGGGAGGGCCTGGCTGCCTGCCTTGCATTCTCGGGGTATGACGTGTGGCTGGCTGCGGAGAACTCCATGTTCATGCGGCACACACGGGGCGAGTGGATGACCACGATGCCGGAGCACCTTAACATGGACTGGCTGGACTCTGTTCAGGTGAATAGGAGGGAGGGGCAGGTGGCAGTATTCTTCCGGCCACATGGGCTAGCAGGTGGCATCGTTGTTGCATCCTTGATCCCCGCATCACACCCCCCCCTCTCCCTCCCTCCCGACACCCTTGTCCTCGCCACCCCAGTTGGTGTTTGAGTATTCACGGAGCGCACACCGCGGTCATATTTGGAGGTGGGGGAGACGTCGCTGGCAAGGTTCCTCAGACGAACTTGCATCCCCCTTCTCATCACAACCTTACCTCTCTACCTCCCCTCCCCCTTCCCCTATCCTCACGCTGCCAGTTGGTGTTTGAGTATTTCACGGAGCGCACGCCGCGGTCATACGTGGAGGAGAGGGAGACCTGGTTCTCGTGCTACAGGGTTCAAGCTCCAACCCGCATCCCCCTCCCGTCACACCCATCCCTCTCCCCCTCTCCCCTCCTTCCCTCTTCCCCATTTGGTGTTTGAGTATTTCACGGAGCGCACGCCGCGGTCGTACGTGGAGGAGAGGAGAGGGAAGCCTCTCTGGTGTGGAACCACGATCCCCCCTGCATCACCGCCATCCTCTCATCTCTTCTCTCTCTCCCGCTTTTTTCCCTCTTCCCCAGTTGGTGTTTGAGTATTTCACGGAACGCACGCCGCGGTCGTACGTGGAGGAGAGGGAGACGTCGCTGGTGTGGAACTACAAGTATGCCGACGTGGAGTTTGGCCGCGTGCAGGCCAGGGACATGCTGCAGCACCTGTGGACGGGGCCGATTTCCAACACTGCAGTGGACGTGGTGCAGGTAAGACTGGATGCACCTCCTCCAGCAGGTGGTTCACATCCGCAGGTGGTGCTGTTTCTCATGCACGTGCAGACTAGGTCACTAGGGACATGCTCCAGCACGGTACGTGGAGGAGAGGGAGACGTCGCTGGTGTGGAACTACAAGTATGCCGACGTGGAGTTTGGCCGCGTGCAGGCCCGCGACATGCTGCAGCACCTGTGGACGGGCCCCATCTCAAACACGGCTGTGGATGTTGTTCAGGTACGGTCTAGGGCAGGTGCTGCCTCATGCAGGTGCTGCTGCGTGCAGGTGCTGCCCCGTGCAGGCCCGCGACATGCTGCAGCACCTGTGGACGGGACTTATCTCCAATACAGCGGTGGATGTTGTTCAGGTACGTTTGCTGTGAGCCGAATCAACACTGCAGGTGTGCGTGCAGGCCAGAGACATGCTGCAGCACCTGTGGACGGGACCCATCTCCAACACTGCAGTCGACATCGTGCAGTTATGTCCTGGTGTAGGTGCTCTCTCGCCCACGTGCTTCCATGCATGAAGAACACACCCTCAGTAGCATGCTTTTCCCCTCGCCCTTACCAACCCACCCTTCCGCAGGGCGGCGAGTCAGTGGGCGGCCGGTGGGGATGAGCAAGGGAGCAGCCATAGAGAGGGTGTTGGGGAAGATTGTGTGATTCACCTCCCCCTTTCCTGCCCGTTCTCCGTCTCTGTTCAGCCGTCTCAGTAGCATGTTTTCCCCCTTTGCTCACCTGCGCTCCCCGTCACAGGGTGGCAAGTCAGTGGAGGTGCGGCCGGTGGGGGTGAGCAAGGGGGCAGCAATGGAGAGGGTGCTGGGCGAGATAGTGCATCAGAAGCCGCTGCCCTGCCCCTTTGACTTCGTCATGACTGTCGGCCACTTCCTCTCACGGGTGAGTCGTTTTCTTCATGGGTGGGCCAGAGCCACTTGTACCGCACGTAGTGATGGGTGGGATGGGACGAGTCTGGGCTGGTGCATGCATTCTGTGCTCTCATGTGCCGCTGCCACGCCCCTTTGACTTCGTAATGACCGCCGGCCTTCCACTCACGGGTGAGACACGTGCATGTAGCTGTAAGATCGCTTGCTCTGCTGCATGCTTTCAACTGCTACCCCCATCCTCCCCCCCACCCCTTTGACAGGACGAGGACATATACCAGTTCTTTGAACCGGACTTGCCTCACGACAACAACATGCCGCCCGGCATGGAGGGTTACCAGCAGAGCATGGATGGCACCATGGGTCCCATGGATGGTACCTGCGGTGTGTCCATGGATGGTAACATGGTAACCATGAGTGGTGCGTCTTTGGACGGGGCAGCCATGGATCAAGTCACCAGGGATCATATCACGGCTCTTGAGCATGCTGATTCATACTTACCCGAGTATTACACTACCAGCCCCACCACCACGTTTGATACAAGCATCACCGCTACAAGCACTCTCACTGCTCCTCACGATCGCTCTAATCCTCCCCCTGACACCAAGCCTCCCCCGGGCCTGCCGCCTGCTCCGCCTCCGAGTGCTCCCGGACCTGACAGTCTAGGTTCGGCGCCGCTGCCTATGTTTGCCGGACCAGGATATGGCAGCCCCGTGCCTCAGTCTGCGGCTCGGGGGGGAGGTTCGGGACCGCTGGTGGCTCGGGTGATCTTCGGGGATTCGCAGAGCAGAAACCAAATGGAAGGAGGGGGAAGACATGCAGGGAGGGATGGTGGTGGTGCTGCTGCTGCTGCTGCTGCGGCTGCTGCTGCTGCTACTGCTGCTACTGCTGCTCCTGCTGCCTCAGCAGCTGCGTCTGGGGCTTCGGTTGCTACAGGTTCCAGCTCTCCCTCTCCCTCTTTCTCCGCTGCTGCTGCTGCTGCTACTGCTGCTCCTGCTGCAGTGGCTGCGGCTGCTGCTTTCTCAGACGCTGGCCCACGGCCACACACTCCCGACTCTGTCACAGCACGCGGCAGCCGGCTCAAGGCTGAATCCCGGGCGGGAGGGGGCACTGATGGAGACGCAGTTGGGTTGGAGGGAAGAGCAGCACCTGCCGGGGTAGGTGCAGGGACAGGAGCAGCGGCAGGGGCAGGGGGGGTAGGTGGGAGTAGCAGTGGGAGAAGCCGCGGGAGTGGGTTGGGAGGGTTCCGGTGGAAAGGGAGTAAGAAGTCTGAGAAGAAATCTGCCTTCTCCTTCTCCTCGCCGTCACTGGTCAGTCTGCTTGGGTCAGCTTTGGAAGGCGCCACGGGCAGCCCGAGAAAAACTAGCATGGGGAGAAGCAGCAGTGGTGGACGGGGGGAGGCTGAGTTGTGTTCTCCAGGTGCAGGCAATGCTGCTGGGACGCAAGGAGTGGGGAATGGGAGTGGACGGAACGAGCAAGGGAATGGAGGTGAAGCAGGCGAGAGATTGCTTGCGCCGATCACAGGGTTTTCCAACCTCTCGAGCTTTTCAAGCCATTCTGGGACGACTGGCGTTTCAGACGAGTCGAGGTTTTCCACACAGGAGAGCTCATCGATGCTTCCGACTGTTTTAGACTCGGAGGAGGATGGGCATGGGGAGGAAATAAGCCATCGCAGCAGCGGGGAGTATTGCCCGATTGTCGATCTCAATGCCGATTCGTACTTTTCGTGTGCTGTGGGGCGCAAGCGGTCTTTGGCTCGGTATTTGCTTGCAACCACTGATGATGTGGTTACCATGCTGAAGGCGATATCAGATAGCTATGGCCTTGGCCCTGGCTTTCGGACAGCTTAGCTCGTTTTCTTAGGTTGCTAGTGCGCTAGCGTATGCTGAAGGTGTTCATTTCTTTTTTTTTGTGCGATGGCCTTGTAACAGGCGGTTCAGCTCGGGCTTCTATCAAGGACGCCCATTTTCTAGAAATGGCGCTTTCGCAAGAAGTTCCTCCAACACGAAAAGCTTCGCAGCGAAGCCAGAAGCTCAAGCCGTTCTTCGCCGAATCGCACAACCCAAGTACCCCTCCGATTGGAGCAATCGGAGCCGTTGAGAGACTAGCATCCACGCTTCGTGAAGAACACATTCGATGCAAATTTCTCGCGAAAGCACGCCTCCCCCACACATTCCCCACAAATTCTCGTTTCAGAGCTGGAATAGCAAACCCCGCAGGCAGACCCTTTCAGCGATGAGCCAGTCTGATGGTAATTTCATTCCCGCTTTCCGCCACTTGTTGCCTTGCTGGCATAACTTCTTTTCGGTCGTATCTACCTTCCCCAACGGAAAGAACCATGGCTCTAGGATGGACGCCTCGTACTTATGGTGACGTTTGTGGTTCCTACTTGGTATCTATACCAACACGCAGCGACTTTCTGAAGCAACTCGAGTCGTCACCAGCATCTCTGTTTGTGCACGCTTTTGGACAAAACGCTTTCCTAGCAGCTCAAAGTACGATAATTTCATCTTCGCGATAATGGCACGTGTTATCAAGGCTGTGGTAATCCTCGCGCTCCTCGGCCTCGTCGCATCAGGTAAGACTCCATTGACGAGGCCAACTTTCTCTTGCATCCTACATGTGACATGCTCAGCAAGACGCCACCACGTGGAGGATAAATATTTTATAGAGGCTTTCTTTAGTATTCTCACCTTAAATTTCTCTTCTCTCGTTTCAGGGGTTCTCGCCCAGGGACCCGGCTATGGTGGCGGCAGGGGCGGCGGAGGGCGCGGAGGACCGGGATTTCGGGGGGGGCGCGGAGGAGGCAGGGGCGGCGGGCCCGGACGGGGACCCGGTGGGGGCCTCGGGCTGGGCCCTGGCGCCGCTCTGGGGACGTTCTATGGCCACGTGGAGGCTGATCTGACAGGTAGCGGCAACATCACAGGGCGCATGCACGTTGTTGTCTTCAAGTGAGTACGGTTTATGAGTATTATTTCAGCATATTCTCCTTGCAATGAAGCACTTTTTGGTCCTTGATTTCTCCGTGTTTTGTACGCGTTTCGACGTGTCATTGAACCGCGTTCTGGCTATGATCGTCCTTTCGATGTGTTTAATCAGGAACAACACCGACTACAACGTCCGTTACGTGCTGAGGATCGGCGGCCTGCCGACCCCAGGTCTTCCTACCGCTGCAGCCGTCCTGAATAACGACAACACAGTCCTTGATTTCCCTGATGCCACGTGGACCAACACCACTGGCCAGCAGCCTTATGGCTACGGTTGGAGGAGGCGCAACCGTGCATGGGTCTTTGGTGTGTGTTTCCGTTACAATGCGACTGGGGTTTACTACAACGCGAACACGAAGACCACTGATGGCGGCAAGACAATTGGGTCTATTGCTGTGGCCATGGTTGCTGCTCCTGCAGCTTATAGCGGCCGTATCACTGCTCCTGGTGGCGTTGCTGCTGGCAAGTTCCACACCTGGCGTTAGAGATTTGCATTTGGAATGGGTGACTTCTGAGGTTCTAGGGATGCATTGCTATAAGTTTCGCACCTTTTGGCCAGTCAGATGCTAAGCCTGGAGTGGGTGCGAAACTTATTGCATTTATCTCAAGTTGATGTGTGTGGACTTTGTGTCCAGCGGATATTTAGCAAAAAATGCATTTGTGTTTGTGCTTGCAGTGTTAGCAACATTTTCTTCCTATAAATGTGTAACGAGCGTTTCAGTCGCGAATGGTCGGAAACAGCCCAACGAAAACAAGAAGGGTTGAACCATCCAATGCAAACCAGCCAGCTGGTGTTGGGAATTCGACGTTGGCAGAAACAAGCACTGCCACTGGCACACTGCTTGTTAATGGGGTAGGACTGAGTTCTAGGTGTTATCTATTACAATGTAGCATAATTACGCAAGGAAAAGGAGTGGAAACGGGAAGAGAGGAGAAAAGGAGGAATAACGTGAGTAGAAAAAAGGAGAGAGGAAGAAAGAAGGAGGGGAATAGGGGAAAAATGATAGGAGGAAGAAAAACAGGGAAGAAGGAAGAAAAAGCAGCACACACAACCCCAAGAAAACCCCAATAGCACACACATTTAAAACACCATCAAGCCCTCCCATCAAAGCACCCCAACTGCACTCCCATCGAACCAAACCTCCCCCCCTAAACCCACTTTCTAAACCCGCATGTCTACCAAGTATGGTGCATCCGCCCACGGAGCATCCCATCCCATCTCCTCCTCAACATCCTCCCGCTCCACCCAAACAGCCTCTGGGCCTCTCATCATCGACGCAGCGCGTAACAAGATCACACGCGCCTGAGCCCGTTGCAAAGCCACACCCACAGCCGCTTTGAGCGATCCGAGCAAATAAGCCGAGAAACCCTTTCCCGTAGCTCGCGCCGCCCCTTTCGTCTTTGCTATCTCGATCTGCGCGTCACCCTGCTTCTTAAGCCACCGTCCAAAACTCCCCCCCAAGCATCCCCATGTCTCAGCAATGAGTGGTGTGAACTGCACTCCCCCATGCCGCTGTAGAAGCGATTTGTAGTCCGCCGTCTTCCGCTTTTCTCTCTCTCTCGCGGCAAAACCCACCTTGCGACCAATCTGTCCATGGTGCTGCGCGGATAGCGAGATAGGATCTACCACACTAACCTCCAGCGCGTGCTCCTCCCCCTCCCTCAGTTTCCGAACCGCCACATCAACCCTCTTCCCTGGGAGCAACGTGTCGTCTTCCATGGTCACAATCCCACCCGCACCCTTAGCTATCTTCGCCACCACAAATTTAACCGCATCGTGAACCCGAGAAGGTGCATACTGATACTTGCAGCGAAGGGCATGATGCGGGTCAGAGGGATCAGCAAACTCAAACCCACACGCGCACTTGCCGGCCACTATCAGCTGCTGAATAGGGAGGCCTAGGCGCATGGACGCGCAGATGCTCCACTCGGCTGCGGTGAAGGTAGCCTCCTCGTGCGAAGGAACGGCAGAAACCCACGCCCCAGCCCCCGGGCCCTGAAGGGATGTCAAACGGGCCAGGGTGGCATCGTTGTGGGCCATGCCTCGAAGAGATTGGAGGCTCTCAACCGCCAGGCGACGGTGTTGTGTGGGGAAGAGCAGCATAGGCGGATCAGCGGTGCACAAGGCAAGGGGTGGCATCTCCTGCCGAACCGACTGTGGAAGCAGATCCACTGCTCTCGCAAACCAGGGGTCCAACAAGGTCGTAGCCTCGGGCGTGCGGAAAAACTCCTCAAACATCCGCTCCTCACCTGCCACCCCCAACCGAGCCACATCGCTCACTGCTTGGCACCAGCCACATGCATACGACAGAGGACTAAGGTCAGCCGCAGATCGAATGCCGAACCCCCCGAGTCTGGCAGGAAGGTGCAGCTGTAAACGAGCCATCTGGGACTTCCCCGAATCGTGATCCCAGGTACTATCTGGAAACAGCTCCTCGAAACAATCTTCCAGCTTCGTGTCCCAGTCCCGAAAAGCCTCCACAACCTCAGGTCGTGGAGGCATCGTCCGTGTGAGGTAGATCGGGCGCGCCGACACTGCGATCGCCAACAAATGGGACGCAATCTGTGGGTGGTCAAGCAGAGGAAGCCAGGGGACAGGTGCATGCAGCTCCGTCAGCCGGCGACGCAGGCTAGCCACCTCCCAGTCCTCCTCCCCAATGGGCACCCCTACCACAGTGAGCCCCGTCCATGTCTGCTGCATGCCGGGCGGGACAGTCTCATTTCTCTCCTCCCCATCCTGGTCCCTCCCTCGCTCCCATAGCTTACACTTATGCGGCTGCACCTCCAAACCCAGCCCGTCCAGTCGTTCCCGCAAGGCCTCATAGGCTGCTAGAACCCGTTCCCTAGGCCCCAGGATATACGTATCGTCAGCATAGCTGAGGAAGAGTAAGTCGGCGTACTCCATTTTGGTTGGTTCCATAACCAGCTGCTGTGTGAACGCGAACAGAAACGGACCCAATGGATCCCCTTGCCTCGAGCCCCGCTCGGAAGCCAAAGCTTCGACAAAAGGGCCCGCTCGGAGATAGAGGTCGCTAGGAGTGCCGTAGAAGACACGCAGAAATGGAATCAATCCCTTGAAAGGCGACTGTCGAAGACCCTCAAACATTTCCCGCCGATGGAAGGAGTTGAAAGCGTTCGCCACGTCAATTTGCAGCGCACACCACGACGGGTGAGTAGAGATGGCGGAGCGAAAGGCATGTGCGAGGACTTCCACTCCCGACCTGGACCCGACTCCAAACTGGTTACACGGAGCAAAGTGCGACATCATCTTCGGGCGAAGCACGATGCATATGGCCCGAGATAGTATGCGGGGGAGCACCTCGCCTATAGCCACCGGGCGAACGTCACCATTCGGCTTCGACAGGCCCACCAACACTGCTTGTTCGTGCCTGAAGTCGGATCTCGTTTCCACACGCACCTCGTTGCTGCATATGCTTCCACCCCAAACTGTTTTGGCTGCACACACACCACATCGCCAGCTTCCTCTAGTGCGGTAACCATGCATTGCTAGTCGTCGTTGGACTCGTCAAACGTCCGTCGCAGACCAGCAAATGTCTAGTTCCGCTGCTGCGACATGCCTGGGGGGGTCTACAAACCGTGAAGGAGAACAAACTGGCCACGGTATTTTTCACGGTTGCCGGTCAAACCACAACAAGGACGGTGGGGAGGTTCTTCCTTATCATAATGCAGCCATTGCACTTGTCACTGATCATGGCGGGTGCCAGCTGTGCAACAAGCACGCGTTTGAGGGGGCTGGTGGTGGCGGCGACTCAGCGCCTGCGACTCGCGCCGACAATGGAATGGAAGCAAGCTTCTGACTGGCCATGGCGTACTTTGCGAGTTTCAGAGCTGCTGTGCGGCATGGCTGGATGGTTACTTGAGGTGGCTAGGACTCAAGCGGCAATCGCGCTGTCGATTTAACATCAGCTGTTCAATCAATTGAGGATCACTCAATTGCTTTCGTTGCTTATCCACCACCGCTTCAACGCTTATCTGCCACTTCGAATCGATTGACTGTACCTCCCGACCTTCCGATTAGAAAAGGGCATCCATCATGAGGCTCCATACACCTCGCGTCGCCTTCTGGTTGTTGCTCGTCGTTTACACATCCATAGCAGGTGAGGGCGAATCCGACGTCTGTCATAGAAGAGTCTTCGCAACTATTCTCCCAACTCCCTAACTGCGAGTTCAAATACCCTGCATTAAGTCCGCCAATGCTTCTTGTGCTCTTACAGAGGGCGTACGCGTTCTGGACGATGCCGCTGCTCAGCTGCTTGGTCCTCATACACCGAGAGAATTTATTAATTCTGCAGCACGAACAAGGCCGGCCCAATTAAGAGATTCACGTGGAATTTACCAGGGTAAGCGACACCACCATCGCCATCAACGCGATCATGACATCGACGCACTGCAACTACTTTATATCCAAACGACGTGCCAGGCTGAACCGCGTGTTTTAATCGTTTCCCTCCCAACATTGTACTCGTTCCGTGACAGGTCATGCGGAGGCGACATTGCGAGGCGTTGACGATATCAGGGGTGTTATCCGTGTCGTCGTTTTCCGCAACTCAACCAGCGTGAACATTCGTTACTCGCTCCGCGTGACCGGATTGAGCGTCCAGGGTTTCCCGATCATTGCTGGGATCGCCCCTGCCACGTCCAACGCCCCAGTGGTTTATTTCCCCTCAAACACTTGGTCGAATGTGACAAATAGTCCCCCGTTCGACCTGGGTTGGATAAAGCAGGGCAATGCAAGGAGGATGGGCCTGCTCTATAAGTACACGTCATCCGGATGGTGCTATGATGCAGGGAGCGTTATTGCAGGGGCAGGAATGACCGTCGCTGATCTTATTGGGGGGCTGATGGCGTCCCCAGGGTCTTATTATGGGACCATTGTTGCTCCTGGCGGCAGGGCAAGGGGTATCTTTACGGTGCAACCACTGGCAGATAAGATGTCTCGTGATGGCTCCTTATCATCTTGAGTGCATTTCTCCATGTGGTTCACTGCACGGACGTCGTGCTGTTTTGTACATTGTAGAATGACGGCTCAATTGGAGCCTCTCTCTTAGTGCTACCGTATTCATGCTTGAACTAACTTTCAATAAACGGCTGATATGGACAGGAGGACGTGTGTGAAACTAATTTTGGCACCAAGTTTAGGTTTTTGATTCGAATGTAGCAATTGAACGCTAAGCGAACCTTACTCGATTTTGAGTCATTGCAAAGTGTCAAAATGAGGAATGAATGATGCATTGATGTTGGTTGGGGTACATATAGCTAACCCTAAGTTTTGTACCCCCTAAGACAAACCTCACTATAGGCTACAATATTTGACACACCCCCATAGCCTAAGTGAGGGGTGTCTAGCAGAACCAAACGAGTACGGTCACAAGACCAGTCCAAGAAACGAAGCTCAGGGTGGATCACAACGTCACCACACAGTCTGAGCACAAACAACAGTGGCCACAAGGCCAGTCCAAGAAGT